CCAGAAGGTGCTTACCAAGGCAGGCTGCCTGCCTGCTGCTGCCCCAGGATGCTTAAAATGACTGGCTGCTCCCTGTGGCTCTCTGCTCCGGGCACTGGGGGAAGAGGGAGACTTCACACGCTGCTCTCACACCCAGCAAAATCTCTCAGCTGACATTAGCTGGTTTCTGCAAAACCTCCCCCCGCCCCTGACACCCAGAGCAGAGAGCATGAGGGAGCAGCCAACTGCTTAAAGCAGCAAGGGGCTGCTCTGAAGCAGCTAGCTGCTCTATGCCGGCAGCCTGTTGGTCAGATTCAATGGCTTGGTGGGCCGGATCTTGCCTACCCCGGTCTACACTGCTGTTTTTAGCCTGCCCCAGGAGTCTGAGTCAGGTGACCTGAGTTTGGATACTCACTGTCACTGAAGATTTTTTTTTTTTTTTGGTAGATGTACTCTAAATGATTCACCTAGGATAGGGGTGGGCAAAAGGGCCTCCGCGGGCCGGATTCGGTCTGCCAAGCAGGTGGATCTGGCCTGCGGAGGCCCTTCTGCACCCCTGCCCCAGGTCAATTAGGGTCTGGAGGCGGGGGAGCACATGAAGCCTTCTCTGCTCTGCCCCCACCCTTCATTGTCCTGAGGGTGGGGGAGTGCACGAAGCCTCCTGCTGCCCTGCCAGGAGCAGCGCCGCGCACTGCTCACGGGGGGGGGGGGGGGGGCCGGCGGGGCGCTCTCCTTCGCCCTGCCCCGGCTTTGTGGGGAGGATGTTTCCCGTGCTCCCCCGCTCCCAGGCTCTGATTGGCCTGGGGGTGGGGAAGCGTGCCAAGCCTCTTCCAGGGCATCGGTGTCTAGTGGGAAGGGGAGCAAAGGGACTCCTCCACCCCCCAGACTAATCATGGTCTGGGGGTGGGGTAGCCCTGACCCTTTCTGTTTAGGCCCCGCCCCTTCTGGCATGGCCTGGGGCTACTTCAAAAAAAATTTAAGTGGCCCCTGGGCAGAAATGATTGCCCACCCCTGACCTAGGACAACTTTATTTTAAACAAATATTTTTCCTGGCTTAAGTACTGTGTTATGTCTGACTTCTTGTTCGCCTGTGGTTTTTAAAATTAAATCTAAAATACAATTATAACTGATTGTAGTTTGAATATAAATGATCAACTTAAAAAACAAATCTATCTATTAACATACTAGTTGATTTGTCTTTTTTGTGGGAATGCACTAAAAATCCCACCCAAATCCAGTGCATGCTAATGAATAAATTAGTCATAATTGTGTCTGAGAATGCGTAGGCGTTGTTAAAAAAAAAGCAGCAAGAAAAAGTAGAAAGTGTTTCTGTCTTTCATGTTAGCACAACAGTTCTTGAACAAAATTATGATAAGCTGTATCCAAATATCTCACAGATTTTGTCTTTCACATATAGCCATATTTGTTATCTATTATTGTCTGGAAATCTGGTACTTCGTGATATTCTGAATACACCACAGAAATATAGAATTGATATAGTCAAATGATCGATAATTTTATCCAGCACTAATGTTAGAGTTAGAATAGTATGTTAATTACCTTGATTTAAACTCTGTCATTTGTGATAAGCTTACAGCTTGTTTCCTAATTAGTTGAGCAGCTCTGAGGTAAATATTGTAAGGTAAAGAAAGGTTCAAGGTTGCTCACATATCCTCTTAGGAAAACACCTAGTAGGTGCCATTTCCAAGCCGTAGTATAATATAACTCTGTTTCCTATGTTGCACGATAGGATTGCAGAAAGATTAATTTAACAACAAAAAAATGTTTCTAAAATTCTGCTTCTAGTGACCCATTTTCAACAAACCAGCTGATTGTTTTTGTTTAAACGTACTAGTAGGAGAAGAAGCACAAAGAGGAAAATATGGAATTAAATACTAATAGTGTTTTAGCTAAGTTTAAGAACATGCTAATTACAAATAATGTGGATAATTTATTTCAATCAGAAGCAATGTATTTTGGCTTTTACTTTTCACAACAAATTTTAAACTAATATCTAGACATACAAATAATTATTTCTTAGAAAATTATTTGGGAAAATCATATTCCAGTCCCAAAGCATCTAAAAATTGAAATTGGAATGAGTACATTATAGCCTGGTTAGGCAGTGAGAATGAACCATTTGTTTTAAATTGCTTTTTCGTTCAAAACTGTCTGATAGAAGAAGTCCCTTTAAGGACTGACAGGAGTTTCAAGCCTTTGTAATAGAATTTGTATGGGGGAGCTAGTTTCCATGAGTGAGTTTTAAAAAACAAACCCACCTCTACAGATCTATGGTGAAGCAGGGATTAGTTTTGCCTAATACGGTTGTGTACTACTTGCTAGCACAATTCCACTCCCTAATGGCATAGTACCAAGAGGATCCAGTGAAACATTGGGTTCAGCCTTGAGCAAGTGGAGTGTGATGCTCTTTTGGAGGAACTTTTCTTCTTCCTAAAATGTCAGAGGTTTGCATTCACCTGTGAGGCAGGTTAATATTTTCTATTTGGGATAGAATCAGAGATAGAGCTAACCTTGCCCTCCAAGGAATTTTGAATCTGTTTTCAAATGGAGCAGAGATGCCAGATTTCATGTGACTGTGAAGTTGTTGTTGAAAGGCAAAAATAATCTGGATAACAGTGCCTTAGGGAAAACTCAACACATGGTTCAATATTTGCCTACCTTCAATAAACACCCTGGGATTAGTCCTGCAAATCACTGAACAT